CCTTGTTTTTAGTATGCATCATTTATGTTCCATCTTTCTTATAAGTTCAAATGCCAAGATCTACACAAGGATTAAAATGACAAGAACTACATAAGGGCTGAATCTCTCTTGGGGCAAAAAAATTAAACATTTCTTCCACCTTCCTCTTTAATTCAACATGAGCTTTGGGGTTCATCATACAATGGGGGAGCTTAAGAAGTTATGACCCTATCATTATGTAAATATTATGTCACATATCACTCAATCATGTCAAATCATTAAGTCTTCATTAATAATAAAATTAAACTCATATGATAGGGATGATGCCACAACTAACAAGTGATTCTCAAATGGATTAGATGTAACTTCTTTCATTTGGAGCAAGTGAATGGAAGTAATATAAGAAAACTCTCTCTAGAAACTACCAAATCTAATTCTATTATTAAATAAGGTGCAATCATAAATAGAGTATGTTAACCAATACTAATATTAGAAATAAAATCAATTACTCTATTAGCAGGAGACTCGATTATAATTAATAATAACTTAGCATTCTTCTTTTGACCTTATTTAAGTTGAGTGCTAGATCTTAGCTTGCGGGGTGTAATTTGCAATGTGTATTTTCTTAATAAGTTTGACATGTAAAAAAATTATGATCTTATTATTATACCTAAACACATGATTGTTATACCAACCATAATAAGTGACACTAGTCTTATAATGTCAAGTTATTCCTGGGAGAATGTATGATATATCCATAAGAAGGATATCAGTCTATATATGATCATCACAACTATTCACCTTAATGGATAAAAGATAAACTAGTAATGGGTAGAAATATATGATTCACTTGATTCACATGAAATAGTTCAAGATGTGGTTCAACTTTTAAGTTAGCCATAAATAATGTAAAAATGGATACAACATGCATTATACTATAACAATTCAACTTGCACCCCTCTTATTACACTTAAAATAATTAATTTTCCAATTAGTACTAATATCCCCCTTAAATGAGCCATGATGTCTTGTGTACTTCCAATGAAAGGGCTATGCCTAGTATTAAACCTCTATGTGATTGAGAAAGTGGCCTAATTCACGGACTTAAAAATAAAGGCTATACACTTTAACTTTTCCACCATCAAGGCATAATGAAAATAATTCTCAAGTTCGATCTCAAAGATCAAACATTTCCACATTATATTCATAATGTCAATTATAAAATTGATAATAAATTTCTTAGTGAGTTATTAATCATCATTAACAAAGTTAGTCATAACAAATAAGTCCTTAAATGTATTAAGGTATTCAGGGACTTGATGAATCTCCATACTTTAAGGTTATCAATTGTTCATGTAATTTATTATTATAGTATCCAAAAAAATATTTATCCCTAAGCATCTCCTTTAACTCCATCTAAGGTTGGTTACTTATTAAAAAAAAAAAAAAAAAAGGTTGGTTGATTATAATATATCCTCCATTATTAACATATTAGTACAATACATCTTTACATGACCAACTAATTTTATTTTGATAAAGTTGACCCTCAAATATTGATCCATCAACTTCCACTAAAAAATATTTATTTGAACTATTCAATTCAAGAATTTTTTTGAATTATAAATACCATCATAATAAAGTGACACTATTTTAATAATTCTAAAATAATTATTGAAGTCTGCAACCTGCCTATTATGGTGATCTGGCTAACCCATATTTTGCTAATTTGATGGTCACTTAATATGTCTTCTTAATATTTGGATATATATGATCATCAACTAGTTATGGTGAATAGGTTATGCAAGAGCAAGAAGTTGAGAATGTACCTTAGCGGTAAGATTTTACATATGAGTCACAACTTATATTTAATCTCTTTCATTTGATTTCTATTCTCAGAAGATATATTTTTTTTTTATTCTAATCTCAATTGTTTGGAGTATATTATCTAAATTTTCTATCATTTTACTTCTCTATTTGATACGTAAAGGCTGACTTGAGTGGCATATATACAAGGGTCATATAAGAAAGATGCTAATTTATTTCTTGATAAAATTTCCTTATAATAAATAATCCTATGTTAGATCAATGCAAGGAATGCTACCCTAATTTTAAAATCTTTTTTCAATGATTTTAACTAGCAAATTAGCACATAAGCTTTACTTAGTATTCTTTGAAAAAAAAAAACCACAAGTTAAATCAATCTTTCATAAATTGTTTAGTAAAGAAAGGTGCCGAGGAGTGGCTGAGGAGATTGAAAAAGACTTTTGACGGAATGCAGTGTCCGTCAGACAGGAAGGTTCCTTTAGCAGTGTTTCTGTTGGATGGAGAGGCTGAGCACTGGTGGGTTGGCCAGCAGGAGGCTAAGTTTCAGGGCAGATTGAACTCTTTGATTACCTGGGAAGAGTTCACTGAGGTATTTCGAGATTGGTTTTACCAACCATAATAAGTGCATGTAAAAAAATAAAAATATGATCTTATTATTATGCCTAAACACATGATTGTTATACCAACCATAATAAGTGACACTAGTCTTATAATGTCAAGTTATTCCTAGGAGAATGTAAGATATATCAATAAGAAGGATATCAATTTATATTTGATCATCACAACTAGTCATCTTAATGAATAAAAGATAAACTGGTAATATGTAGAAATATATAATTCACCTAACTCACATGAAATAGTTCAAGATGTGGTTCAACTTTTAAGTTAGCCATAAATAATGTGCAAGTGAATATGATATGCTTTATACTATAATAATTCAACTTTCACCCCTCTTACCACACTTAAAACAATTAAATTTCCTATTAGTATTAATATTCCCCTTAAATGAGCCCTGATGTCTTGTGTACTTCCAATGAAAGGGCTAAGCCTAGTATTAAATCTCTATGAGATTGTGAAAGTGGCCCAACTCATGGACCTAAAAATAAAGGCTATACAATTTAACTTTTCCACCATTAAGACATAATGAAAATAATTCTCAAGTTCTTAAAGATCAAACATCTCCGCATTATATTCCTAATGCTAATTATAAAATTGATAATAAACTTCTTAGTGAGTTAGTAATCATCATTAACAAAAGTTAGCCCTAACAAATAAGTCCTTAAATGTATTAAGGTATTCAGGGACTTGAAGACTCCCATACTTGAAGGATATCAATTGTTCATGTAATTTATTATTATAGTATCCTTAAAAATATTTAGCTCTAAGCATCTCCTTCAAGTCCATCCAACTAAGGTCAGTTATTATAATATCTCATTCATTATTAACATATTTGTACAATACATCTTTACATGGCCAACTAATTTTATTTTGATAAAGTTGACCCTTCAATACTGATCCATAAACTTCCACTAAAAAAATATTCATTTGAACTATTGAATTCAAGAATTTATTTGGATTATAAATACCATCATAGGAAAGTGCCCCTATTTTAATGCTTCTAAAATAATTATTGAAGTCCTCAACCTGCCTATTATGGTGATTTGGATAAACCATATTTTGCTATTGATGGTCTCTTAATAGGATGTCTTCTCTATGTTTGGATATGTATGATCATCAACTAATTATGATGAATAGGTTATGCAAGTGCAAGAGGTTGAGTATGTACCTTAGTGGTAAGATTTTACAAATGAGTCACAACTTATATTTGATCTCTTTCATTTGATTTCTATTCTCAGATGAGATTTTTTTTTATTCTAATCTCAATTGTTTGGAGTATATTATCTAAGTTTTCTATCATTTTACTTCTCTGTTTGATCTGTAGGGGCTGACTTGAGTGGCATATATACAAGGGTCATATAAGAAAGATGTTAATTTATTTCTTGATAAAATTTCCTTATAATAAATCCTATGTTAGATCAATGCAAGGAATGCTACCCTAATTTTAAAATCTTTTTTCAATGATTTTAACTAGCAAATTAGAGCACATAAGCTTTACTTAGTATTCTTTGAAAAAAAAAACCACAAGTTAAATCAAGCTTTCACACAACTCTTCTTGGCCTATTGGTTGAAAGCTTAGGCTTTCAACTAAGAGGTCCAAGGTTCGAGTCCTTGTGTATGCGTTGTGTGTGTGAGTTTGCCTTAAATGGCCTAAATGTCCCAAAAAAAAAAAAAAAAAAAAAATCAAGCTTTCATAAATTGTTTAGTAAAGAAAGGTAGCATGTGAAATTCTTGTAGTCACTTTCCCATCTAAATCTTTATAATTTTCAATTCATTTTCACCAATTTTGAGAAATTCACTACACTAATCTAAAAAATATTTATTGGTGTAAGAATATGGACAAAAGTGATGAATATTAAGGCTTCGTTTGGGACGGCTTTTTTCGTGCTTCTTAAAACAGCTTTCTAGTTCAATAATAAAAAATTTTGTACTAAAAAACTGCTTTAAGAAGCAATAAAAAAGCCTTCTCAAACGAAGCCTAAATTTCATGGATTTCTTGGATCCTATACATGCAAGGAGTAAAATCACAAGTTATTCAAATAACACATACAGCAAAATGTGATCTGATACCCAACGAGAAAGGTTTGACCATATATAGTTGTACGCACCTAATCTTGCCACTTAGAACCAGATGCCCAAATGCTCGACTTAGCGTTAGGTGGCTAAAAATTAAATCTTTTAGACATCTATCAATTAAAAACTGATACATTTACTCAATCAGGCACATATGGTCATTTTTCTCTATTTTAAGGCTTATAATGAAAATTTCACTAAAATATATACAGGATCCGATTGGGTAACGTGGTTTTTAATGCAACGTGCAAGACTAAAAAAAATTAAGGATAGACTCTGAAAACCTTAGATATGCAATAAGATTCGTAATTTATTGATAATCTAATCGACGCACAAATTGAAAGCAATAATCCAACAGACGAAAATCATTCAGCCTAGTTTTAAATGAACAGCATTACCTGAGATTTTTTAATTCATTTCCGATGGGTCCCGCGGTTTCATCAGCCAGTGGCAAAATCGTCTTTTCTGTTGACCAAGTTCTTAGATTTCTCCGTTCAATGGCCGTCGCCCCCCTCCAAGAAGGCAGCGCCAATATCTCTTCCTTCTTCCCTCTTTCCTCTTCCAAGAAGGCGCCTTTGTCTTCTCGCATCCCTGAACCATCCGAATCTATCCGTGGTATATGATTGTCTATTCGTCGGACGATTAGGGCTTTAATTGTCCGAATTCCAAATCTATTGAGTGTCAGTTTGCCGGTCTCGCCTTGAATTAGGGTTTGCGTGATGAGTTCGAAGGACGAGAAGCCGGAAAACGGCGGTTTCCTTTCTTCGATATCTTCAAGCGTGAAGTTTTGGGGCAGCGCGGTGCAGAAGTCTGTTACCGGGTAAGGAATTGTTCTAGATCTGCTCATTATCATTGTTACCTTTGAGTATGAGTAGTTACAAGTTCGATCTGTGGTCGCGATGGTTGTACATGTACTTAAGAGCTAGGTGGATGAGATGTTTACTTTTATCTAATTTTATACAGATCAACTGTATTGCTGATTGTGTTGTAGTTGATCAGAAATTGATTGCCTGATATAATATAGTTTACCTGCTGCTAATGCCTTTGCAATGTCTTGTATGGCCTTTTAATCCTCAATCTCAGTCAGTTTTATTATTGTTTCCATCAGTTACATATCCAGCTTCTCTGTCTGTTTGCTTTCAGAAGCAATTGCGGATGTTTTTTTGGAGTCCAGTTGGGTATAGTCAAACACGACCCTTAGATGGACGTTGTGTGATAACCACCTTTTGAAATAGATTGTTGTAAACTGTGAACAAATTAACAATGATTTATTTTTTAAATTAATGTACAAAATATCTGCATGAAAAAAATAATGATTTGAATACGCTTATGCAACAAAATTTATGAACATTTGCCATTTCGTTAGTAAACTTACCAGTAAATAATGAATGGTTACTTGTGGCTTTTTGGAATTCTGCTTTTCATGCTGATTCTGTGGTCTTGCTTATAAATTTTCATAGATATCTGCATAGCTATTTAGTGGCCAATGCCTTCCCTTTGTAAACTTTGTTTTAAAAGTTTATTCTTTAAGAGCTTATCACAACCCTGCTTTCTCAACTGATAGTTGGTGGCAGCTTTTGTTTGTTTTCCATTAGCCTTGTTGCAGTAAAATTTTTGAACTGTAAATGACATGCTAGGATAGCAAAGTCATCACTGTCATGCTTGTTATCTTCACTTTTGTTGGCATCTTTGATATAACTACAGTGTATCAAGAGGATTTGCTACTTATGAATCTTGTTCATCCGTGAAATTACTGTTGTCCTGGAAATGGAAGAGTAAAGATGTTAAAGGATGTGTTGTTTTCAAGTTATATAAATTAATGATTTCTCGTACATTAGAAAATAAACATTAAAATATCCTTGATTGCAGATATTGCAGTATTGTTTTAATGACCAGCCTCTCATGCTTGAGAACTTCATCAAAATATGAAAAAGAAACATTTTTTATGAATTTTATTTTTATTTCTTGTGACGCGTTTGTAAACCAAACTAGTGAATGCATTACAACTGTTGTGCTTCCCTTTACTGTTGTATATCTGATTGGTTAAATCATTTTGTTAATCCAAAATCCCGTATTTTCTAGATTTAGTGTTTTGAATTTCATATTATTCTTGATGACAAACTTGAGAACACCAGCTTGGCTGAGTTATTCAAGTTGAGAGGAAGGTATACAAATTTTTATTTTTTTTGGCTTTATGTGTTTTAGGTTGTTGGGCTATGAAGGGCTTGAAGTTATTAACCCTGAAGGGGGCACAGAGGATGCAGAAGCTGAGGCTGAAAGAGGAAGATGGAAGAAAGAGGTACTTCTTCTATTTCACTATGATGCAAAACTCTCCCAATACATCTGACAACTGCTAATGTTGCAGAAATATTTCTTTAAGCATTTATTTAAGTGATTAAATAATTTGTCCTTTCCTTGAAGTGTTATATAACTTGTTTATTGTTAGCTAACACATCTGTATTGTCAGCTTATATTTATGTCAAATGATGTTAGTTTATGCTTTAGCATAGATTCTCGATGCTCTTATGTTGATACTTGGTAATTCTTTCTATCTTATTTTTTGTTATGTGATTGGCAACTGTACATGTTTTCAAGGACAAATTTGCTTCCTATTATTTTTTTTGGTCCATATCAATATTTTATATGTGATAGCTGAATGAAGAAGTGATCTATAGAGATGTAGAATATCAAACTCTTTGGTATTAATCTTATTTGCAAAAGAAATTAATTTATATCTTTTTGGTATTGCATCAGGCTAGGAGTTTATAATGTTTCACTTTTTTTGCGCTATTGGCATTGTTTTAGTTGTTTTTTTAGCGTTCAATGTTCTTTCTATGGTATATATTTTCTTTTGATTCTTTCCTCTGTATCACTGTATGCAATAGTTTTAGGGCCAATTTGGCATTGCTACCTTAGTGTGTTGTTTTATATTGTGTTGTGCTGTGCTGTACTATGATCTAAAATGGAGGACTGTATTGTGATAGATGAACTGATTTGGTAAAAACAACTTATATAGTACATCAATTTGTTAAATAGTGAAAATACACATTTTCTAATTAAAAAATATTGTAAACTACATTTATCTTCAAAATATTGCGCATCAAATAACTGTGTAAGATTTGTAATTTGTAAGTAATTATCGATGAATACACTTAAATGTAGAATGCTAAGTACAAATTTATAGAATGATGGAGATAGTAATAATAGGTCATTTTTTTAATAGAAAAAAGGTTTTATAATCCATCCATCAAAAGAGCATCTTGCATGATAACTAAAAATAAAATAAATAATACTTGAATTTCTTTGAAATATTCATTAAAAATTTAATATTGCAGTAAAACAACACAGTCATCTACCAATTAACATCTCTTTCTAATAAACTCTTGTGTGATGTGATGAGTGGTTTTAGGGGAACAAAAACAGGATATTTTGGGAACGAGCATTCTTAGTAATATCTACAGAAATATTCCCCTTTCCAATCAAAGCGATCCACTCATCTGGGAAAGAGCATTCAAGAAAAAGAACCTTGATAGTTTTTTTTATCATCATCAATCTTGTTTTTTGTTTTGATAGTTTGTTTTATCATCATCAACCTTGCTTTTTTGTTTAGAAACCTGAATTAGCTTGGTGTGTTGAAACTAGTCTGCTAATTTGGGTTAGTCGATGTAGTGGATGCATATCCTTTCTTACCTATCAATTTTTTCATGGTCTTTTTTTGTTATGACATATCAGCAATTTTCAATTTGTTTCCCTCCACTTTCCTTTTTTCATTTTTCTCTGACTAACATCCATTCATTAGATTACTGTCATCTCTTGTTCCTTCCTTTTCTAGTCCCATTTTCATCCTTTAGACAAAGAAGCAGATGGAGGTGCCAGTTCTGAATGACTGAGGAGCTATGTCGATTTTCAGTTTAAATAAGTGTTTTCATCCTTGCAAAATGAATAAAGGCCTTGTTTACTATAGCAATGCTGTCGAGCTTCCTACATTCTGGGTTGCACCTGACGTTGTGTTTGCAGCTGATGGAAAAACAACTGCTGCTGCTTGGTTAAATAACATCTTTATTTCTGTCATAATTCGTGGAATCAATTTTTCCATATCTTTGAAGATAACAAAAATGTTGTGCGTTCATTGAACTTTTTTTTTTTTATTGCTTGACCTGCTTTGACCCATCAAAGTCATGCTTCGTCATATCGGCCACATTTGAGCAATTCAGACTTTCATTGTTGATTGTTATTTGTAAATCAAAATGAATGTAGACCATAATTGGCATCTAATTCTTTGAGAAGTTTGAGCTATTCCGGAATTTATCATTTTATGAATATTCAGAACATAATTGAAGTTGTCATAAATATTATCACCTTACTAACAATATTTTATCCCTATTATTTATAATTTTTGAAATGATTCAGAAAATCAGGTGGGCATTTTGTCATGCTTTATATTTGGTCGGGTTCCCTTCACATTTGATTATCTCTTGTGCTGAATTTGTGCTTATGATTCTCTTTTATAGGACAGGGATAGTTATTGGAAGATGATGCAGAATTATATAGGAGCAGATATTACTTCATTGGTGACCCTTCCAGTGATAATCTTTGAACCAATGACCATGATTCAGAAAATGGCCGAGGTAGATGCTGCTTTGCCTTGAAAGTCGCTGCCCAATCTTTTTTTTTTCAAATATGTTTCTAATTCGATTTTTTCTCTTCAATTATATTGAAATCAACAGAACTTTCAGTTTAGAAGGTATTATTATTCCATGATTTTTTTTGTTATGATATGGCTCTTAACATCTGCTTGTGTTCCGAGTCTTCATTGTTACTTGTTTATCGTTACAACACAATCTCCTTTTATTTATTTTTTTCAAACTATGATCATTTTGACTTATTGTGACTCAATAAGATGCAACATAGTTGCAATACTTTATACATTAATTAATGCTTTTAAGTGGCAACATTTTTTTCCACTACTGCATGCTCAACTGAAGTGGGCACGCTGACCCTTGATATCAGCAATCATTTCAAAATAGCAAGAAAGCTAGTTTTCATGATAATGAATGAAAACAGTTCAGCTAATTGTGAATACAATAGTCTTGTTCTATAATTTTAAAATTGAGCTGACTTTTGATTTAAGCAAAGGAAAAATAGTTTTGCATGGAGTGCATTTCAGTAGTCATCTTATTTTTACTTTTTGTATGTAGCTTCTGGCAAATTTTAAATTTGTTCATGGAATTTAGATTTTGAAAAAACAAGAGCTAATTGTGCTTGATATATATTGAGTGTGTGATCATTTTTGTCCTTGGCTAGGTATCATCTTTATAGCTTCTGATTGTTCTCGAATCTGTACTTCGTTTATTTCAGTTCATATGTTTCAAAAATTTTGAAAGCCTAATTGTTGACATCCCCTCTTTTTCTTGGTGGAGGGGATGGGGTGTGGAGTGATGAGGAGGGCCATGTTGTTATAATAAGAATTTCTTTAATACTAATTGTTTGAACAATAATTTGTTTATGCGAAAGCGACTAGTGGGATGAATGCAATGAACAAACAAAGTAAATAGTAAAGGGATCAGCACAACAAAACACTTCAATATTTATATGGTTTTCTTGTAGCCTACATCCATGAGAAGAAAATAGAAATAGATCTGCTATTAAAAATATACATATGAATGCAGCAAAATAAATTCTTCACTAAATTTAAACACACAATATCAGCACAAAGAGCTAAAGTTCTATAAGCAAACTTCGAACAAAAGAGATTCACCTGGATGTTGTTTGAAGGTTGCATCACGCAATTGCCTATTTATTGCTCTAAATGAGATTGAAGAAAAGAAAGCCACAATAGCCTGTAAGGGAACCAATGTACTTAAGAAATAGCTTGAATATGGCTCGATTAATGCTCTATAAGTTTATTTGAATTACTAATTGGAAAATTTTGAATGTTTTTTAAATGCGTAAAGGTTAAATGAACCAAGTTTGAGCACAGACTAACTCTTTTATTACATTTTTAATTACAATTTATTTAAATATAACTTATATAAATATTTATGATTATTTTTTAACCAAATTTAAACACACAATATGATGGGGACATCAGATATTGGAAGGTTTATCAGAGACGTGGCCGCCGATCTACGGCCACGATCGAGTCTTTATATTTCTGAGTCATTGGTGTATTTTATTATTCATGTATTTTCTTTTTGCTTAGGTGTCTTTTGTTATTTCTCTTTGTACCCCACTTATGGGAGTTGTCGTATGTAAGCCCAAAGGGCATTTGAGTCTTTATTTCTTTGAGTCCATTGTACTTGGCTATATATAGCCATTTGCTTATTGTTTCATGGTTAATGAATGATTATGAGATATTTTCCCACACTTGTCTTCTTGGAGCTTTTGAGAGAGCTTGAGAGAGAGAGAGTTAGAGATCTTGGTGGAGCCTAGGAGAGGCCACCCGTCGTACCCAACAGTCACCACCGGTGGCTCTTGGTTCTACCTCCCTTCATCCCTTCATCCCCTATCAATCTCCCGGCCTTAGCCCCCACCTGAGACACCCCTCTTCCTCTCCCAAACCCCACGGCCTCACCCTTACCCGAGCCCCTCCCTCCATAGCCGCCGGCCACCCCCACTTCTCCGTCCCCTTGAATTTTCCTAATTGGGTTGATGATTAAATTGAGATGATCAAAGATTTCAAATCCTTTTGAATTTGAATTCGAAACCTTTCCTAATTTGATTGTTCTATTTTAGGAAAGTATTTGAATGAAATCCTTTTGAATATTTTATTCATTTGGATTTAATTTGAAACTTTCCTAATTCCAAAACTTAAATTAGGAAACCCAAATTAACTCCACAAATTACGCCCAATCCTATGCTAGCCGCCGACCATACAAGGCTCAAAACGCCGGCCCCACTTCAAGTCTTCCCCTTTTGGATTTCTAAATTTAATTCTCTCAATTGGGAATCAATTTAGGACCCAATTAATTAGAATCCGGAAATTCAAATCCTTTCCCGTTTGGTTTAATTCTATTTCAGGAAAGTTTCCTAAGAAGAGTCAATCTGATTTTAAATTAGATTGGACAATTCCCAAATTTTCCTAATTCCTAAATCCTATTTTGGAAGCCTCATTTAACTCCCCAAGTCTCTCCCCCATCTCCCTTCATAACCGCCAGCCCCCTTACCTTACCCGCCCTTCCCTCTCTCTTACTAATCTCCCCTCTCTCAATTATTCTCTCTCACACAACAAAAATCTGAAACTTATTTCAGATTTTCTTTTGATTGTTAGCTCTCATCCTCTCACCAACTCAAGAGAAACTTCTTTCTCTTCCTTCACCTCATGAGCCCTAAGCAAGACATAGAGGAAAGTTCTTCCTTTGTCCCCATGCATGGGGGATCCGGCAACTTACTACGGCATCACTTGGGACGAAGACGGCTTCACCGATATCCTACAATCTACTTTCTTCGACGTGAACCCGAGTATTGATCACACCGTTGAAGACTACGTGGAGCGCATCTTGTTTGCATTGACGGAAGCCATTGACGAACACTTCGTAGGCGTCGAGTGGAGGATCTCCACCTCTCCCTAACGAAGGTTTCTCTTTTCCCTTGCGTCTTATTCCTTTTAGTCTAAATTCTCGTTGGTTTGATTGCAGTCACGACGGGCTCTTCTAATTGCTCTTGCTTAAGCTTAGTAATTGTAGGACTTGAGCGCACCTCAATGCATCCTAAGTCTCATTGTTATATTAGGGATTAATTTGAAAACTACTATTGCTCATTGTGTTGTTTTCTATTTACTTTTTGGAAGCTTCAAAGTTCTTCTCATGCGATTTAGCCTAAGCAGATAACTACTTCTAAGTTTTGATTCATCACTTTAAATTGCTAGTAATCATGTTCTAATATTATTCTGATCATAACTTGTGCAAAATCTAAATGAATTAAAACATCGCATACGTAGTCCTGCATCACAATATCAGCACAAAGAGCTAAAGTTCTATAAGCAAACTTCGAACAAAAGAGATTCACCTGGATGCTGTTTGAAGGTTGCATCACGCAATTGCCTATTTATTGCTCTAAATGAGATTGAAGAAAAGAAAGCCACAATAGCCTGTAAGTGAACCCATGTACTTAAGAAATAGCTTGAATATGGCTCGATTAATGCTCTATAAGTTTATTTAAATTACTAATTGGACAATTTTGAATGTTTTTTAAATGCGTAAAGGTTAAATGAACCAAGTTTGAGCACAAACTAACTCTTTTATTACATTTTTAAGTACAATTTATTTAAATATAACTTGTATAAATATTTATGATTATTTTTGAGCTTTTTGATTTTTCAAACTAATTAATGTTATATTGATTTGATACTATATTGTTCTTGATACTCTATTATATTTTGTAAAGTGTGAGTTTGAGCTGCTTTGTTTTTAAATTTTATTCATGAACATAATGCTTGTTTGTTTGGAATGTTTATGCTTGTTTCAAATTTCTTTGTCCAATGATCTCTTCTCATTTCTCTATTTCAATAAGCTTGCTAGTACTTATTTATGTTGTATGATTGTTAGAAATTTATTCGTGACTTGTTTAATTTGTGTCAATTAGATCATTTGGTTAATATCTTGGATTCAAGTACAAGTCATAATCATAGACAATTTTAAACTAGTCATATATAAATATGTATATATATATATATATATATATATATATATATATATATATATATATATAATATGTGTGTGTGTGTAGTGAAATTTTGACTGAAGCTCGAGCTGAATTTATATTATGACATACCCAAGTACGATACATGGTGTACTTGACTCGATTACAACCCTAGCTATGACTATCACCATTTTTTATAAGAGGAATTAACTTGATCTCCAATCTGAGTCACGACCGCAAAATTGCCGTCAAATTAAATGTCAAAGCTTCAATTCGCTCCTCATTAAGGAGATCTTCTATGCAACATTATGGGCTTACAAAAATTGATGCAATGTCACATTCCTACCTTTACTCAATAGTCTGGTGATATAGTTTGGATCTCCTCTAAGTCCCTAGCTAAGCTCTTTAAAGCATCCAGACCCCTATAGAGTTGAGCCTCAAGCAACGACAAAAAGCTTAATGAGTGCGTAAACTTGATACTTACATGGCCAAAGTTGTTGATAGAGAAAGAGAGAAGCTATATTAATGTGGTGGATAAATAAATAGATGATCAATATAAGTGTAGATAAATTAATCATTACCAAATGATTGAGGTGGTAATGTTACCAAACCTATGCTGAAGACATAAGCAATAAATAAGTTCAAAGAAGATATATATATATATATATATATATATTAAATGGATGGCTTCATGAAGCAACATGGGATGTATCTCCATTTCTAATGGTCAAAATTTCATCATGCATGTATCTAATGGCAGGGGGATGAACCATCTTTTTTAAGGAGAGATGAACCCAATCCTATGCATGCTTTTCAAAATTAGCTTTTAATTTTCCTCTTCTTTATTGATGCAATTATGCCTTGGATAGTTGGATGTCCACGAAAGATAAAAAAAATTACAATATGTTTTAATAATCTAACGGAGGTGGCCGTCCATCAAACCACACTATTGCCTTCTATTCTTCAAGATCTTCCACTGATTCCATAAGCTTGTGATGCATTAGTTGAACTGACTGAAATTGTACATGTTGAATCTTATCTCATAGGTACTTGGTTCTTTGTGTTTTGTTATAATACAAATTAACATTAAGAAATAATTTGCAAAAGATCCAATTAATCATTTCCAATGATCTTTCCTTGTGCCTATATTATATTATGTTTAGAACTTCAAACTACAACCATGAAACCATCTGCTTAAATTTGCATTTAAAAAGAGCTTATCAACACTCTTGGTCATCATGGCCACCACTGCATCTCTACATACTTAAGGGGTGCAATAACTCATGAGAATCTGCATCATATTATGCTTACAGGACTAAAATATACAATATTCTTAGGTCTAGCCTGTCTAGTGCATGCCTCTCCACAATCAATACCTTAGTCACATCATTATACACCTTCATCCTTTCTATGTCATAACCATATGTATTATATATTATATTATTTCGTGCAAAAAATAACCCTATGAGGACATATATGGTATGAATAAGCTATAATTTTAGAATCTATTGTGCTTTACATCTAGCCCCTACTATTACAAAACGAAGATCACATTGACATATGTTAATTTGTCTGTGGTTGTCATTGGCATACTTCTTCAAAAGTTGGCAATTTTTTTGATACCCTTTATTCTTGCGTTAGAAGCAAATTATGCCCTTATTGCTCTCTATGGAACTTTCCTCTATCGACCTTGTGTAGTATTTGACCCCCTCTTTTGTTGATTTTTCCTTAACTAACAACCCCTTTATTGACTTATCTTCTTCATCCTAAAGGTTAGAAATCATATCCTTAGAAAGGAATGAATATTTAACATCCGCTTAGCTGATAATATCACTATCATATAAAATGATAGCACCAAAAAAAAACAAAAAAACAAAAATGGAGGTAAACAGTACATGAATTACGACGCTTGATCTTTATTCAAATGATGTACTTGAATTCATTAAGATTTGACTTACTAGATGTATTATCTTTCTTGCAAAGAAAGTTACAAACTTTTTTCTAGTACAGCTTGTTGGAAACTCCATGGGTCATGTATTTTGAATCATAATCCTATGGCAATTGTTTCCTCAAAGAATTTTGTAAAAGGCCTTATATGCCAATTGTAATTGGTTCGTCAAGAGCGCTTTTTCATCTCCACATTCTCTACTTCACTCATATTGTCAGACATCTTTGAACCTTTGGTGTTCTTTTGCAAATCCTTTTGGACTAGCCCATCTAACATATGTGTTCTTCAAAGCTCAAACTTACTGACGCATTAAACTTTTTCATTTGTATTTGTTGCAATCTAATTCTTTACTTATGATACCAATTTGTCAAACAAGAATCTTCTTGCACCAATTGTTATAGCGAACATGTTGATGTGGAAATGCCATCCATGATAGAATTTAATGAGCACACAATAGAAATTTCATAGAGATGAAGCACAATAAAATGCATCAAAGTTTATGCTCTTTGACCATGTAGAATAACTACGCTGGAGATGAGAAAGGAATTAATCCTCTAGTATGAAACATCATAGGCGTGCTAATCATTTATTAAAAAAATTCCCAATCTCATTACTAAGATAAACATTTTATCTGTCAAAACAAACCACTACGAAAGCCTCCTACTATTTTGTAAAAAATAAGAATCATACAAAGAGGAAATAAACAAATATATCTAAATCGTAACAAAAGATCACTTAGGTGATCCTCTGAGACGACACAACACAACTGCCTATATATGACACAGAGTGAGACCAAAGATAAGAATGGCGCAACCTAACCAAGTGAAAAGTGCTTTGCCCCTTTGCAAACTTCCCTTATCATCTTTTATAAGAGTATTTGACTTTACCCCAAGCTGTCACAGACAAAACTGTCCCAAGTGAAGGGGGTCCCAAGCAACGCTGCAGGCTCACAAAATTTGGGACAACTTTCATATATGTCAATAGAAATATTCATGTACCATTTAAAACTGCATTGTTTTTGCAAAGGATAAAATCAAAGGAGATTTTTTTTGTGGTCATATTGGCAAAATACTAGGAAAAAACCTGATTTAGTGTGTAGCTATCTAGTTGTTGTACAAATGAGTATTTTCAGTTAAAAGCCTCTGCTTCAATAATTCAAAAGTAATTTATTCACTTTTTAATATGCATGAAGTTGTTATTTTTGCTGGGAAGTCAATCATATATCCAAAAGCATTTGAATGTTAGTTCACTGCATTACTTTGTGCTATATACTCATTTCTTTTGTTACCGTTTACCACTGGTATGTTACAGCTAATGGAGTACTGCCATCTGCTGGACCTGGCTGATGAGACAGATGATCCTTATATGCGATTGGTCTATGCTTGTAAGTAAATGCTGTGGTTCTTTGTTGATGCTGCCTTCGTAAGGAGCTACTGATGGTTTCTGTTATTTTGCAGCTTCATGGGCGATCTCCGTCTACGTTGCCTATCAGCGAACATGGAAACCTTTCAATCCCATCCTTGGAGAGACTTATGAAATGGCCAATCATGGGGGAATCACATTCATTGCAGAGCAGGTTTGTTTCTCGGGGCTTGTATGAATTTGGTTTACTTTTTTTAGTTGGCCAATAACTATCCTGCTCATTTTAGAGAAGGGCAGCTTTTGTTATAGACTATTAAGTATCTATGTGAATGCTACTTATGATTGTTTCTTGGTTTCTTTCAATTTAAGGCCTGAAAATGTTGAGAAGCCTAATGTTGATGACGATGAGTAATTTTTTGTGATATGAATATTCTTTGTCTGGTTTTAATTTTGTTTATTGTTTTTCAATCACGGAGTTTAATTATGTTTAATTGCAGGTGAGCCATCACCCTCCAATGAGCGCTGGGCATGCTGAGAATGATCATTTTGTTTATGACATTACCTCCAAATTAAAAACCAAATTGTTAGGGAATTCTGTCGAAGTATACCCTGTGGGGAGGTGAGTTATACCGTTTGAGTTTCTAATGGCCATTTTATTGTCTTTTACATGACACCCAGTTATACTTTGTTCAGCAGCTGAAACTAAAGCTTTTCCTGTGCAAATTTGTGTTTTTTATAAGGCTGCCATTCTAGGCAATATTTAAATCTTATAGATTTTTAAAATTTGATGCAGAACAAGAGTGAAACTGAAAAAGGCTGGCGTAGTCTTGGATTTGGTACCTCCTCCCACAAAAATTAATAATCTTATATTTGGTCGTACTTGGATTGACTCTGCTGGGGAGATGGTAATGACAAACTTGACTACTGGAGACAAAGTTGTACTGTACTTTCAACCTTGTGGTTGGTTCGGGTATGCCTTTGTTCATATCTTCCACTGTCACGTCCATGCATCTATGCCAATTTGATCTATAATTTGATATTCTCTGCTTTCTACTGTCCCTCTGTAATATTTAGTAGCTTTTGGTAGTTTGTGTTATGTTAAAAATTGCTATTATGTTTGAAGAACTTCCTGGTTACGTGTTTAATTTATCTATAACTGCTGATTTGTTGCACATGACCTGCCATTACGTATTCTTTAGTGATGCAGATAACCAACTTCCTGTCCTATTATTTAAATTGGATACAATGTGGACTAGTTTGCTTTTGTTTTTGTTTTTGTGTTTTTATTCTTTAGAAGTGTTTCTTAATGCTATTGGTACTTGCATTGCACGACTTGACCTTTGTTAGCTGCTCATGTGTACAGGTCTGGCAGATATGAAGTGGACGGATATGTATATGATGCAGCAGAGGAACCCAAAATATTAATAACTGGAAAGTGGAATGAATCCATGAGATATCAACCTTGCGATGGTGATGGCGAACCACTTCCAGGAACTGAGCTCAAAGAGGTTATTTCCATTTCCAAGATCTCCATTTCTATTATGTTTTGCATTGACCAGATATAACATTCTAATCAAATTATTCGCTTAGTCATATCATTGATCCGAGAATGGAAAATATGAGTCATTATGCGTCAAGTCTCTAGCAATACACTGATTCGAATCTCAGTGCCATTATTAATTTGTCAAAATCACAATTTCTTATATGTTTGTCTGTATTTGAGGCCATCATTACTTCGTTTTTATACATGCACAAATAATTTCTTAGTGTTTATCATCTCAATCATAAATTACTATTTTGACGTATCCCTGTATGTTTTGATCAATTATATTGCTTATTGAAGAGTTTTTTGTTATTTCTGACATAGTTGAAGAATCCAAAAGTTCATGCCTAGCTTTGCTAAGAGAGTTTGGTGTTCCGGGTGGAATTTTTAGGTGTATTAGATTGCAGATACAACACTACAAAGAGATTTCATTCTCGTTTTGCAAGGACTTTAAGATCATGAACTAGGTTTCTCATAGGTGCAAGCCTATATGGTTAATTGCCTATGCTGATGACCGGCAAGAACTTTCAATTAAGGCTAGTGTTTAGATGCTAAATACTTAATGTATAGTAGCATCAATTTAATTTTAGATTGATGAAATGTATTGCCTTTTGCATAAAGTGGATAGTTTTTTTTTTTTTGCATAAAGTGGATAGTGTTTTTTTTGTTTCTTTGTTTATTGGTGGTGGTGGGGTGATGATGAACTGGATCAAGATTGCTTTCTTCCATTATTCCTAGTTGTCATGGACTCTGGTCTATTTAGTTAATAGAGGTAGTCGATCCAACCTACTAAATTATTCTTGTCAATATCCATGGGTTGATTCGTCCAATGTAATTTTATTGATTTGTAATGTATGTTTATCTAAGGAGACACACCTAAGTCTCATAGCTAACAAAGAACTTTATGCCCCATGAAGTGCCCCCTATAATTCATAACTTAAGACTTTTTTAACCCATCAAGGAATTAACGAGCTTTGATCGTGATCATAATTTAATGGTAAAATTATCTAGTTAGAGTGCCCCGATCATTAGTTGTGGTGTCATTTGGAAGCAAAATCAATGGTTAGAGGACAAGTTTCATGTGTTAATCAACGAGAAATCATTTGAGATTGAATATAATGATATATTTTGATGCGATACCGGATTTTTGATAGCTGAGATTATTCTTAAATTGATCAAGCTTAACAAATGGTTACAGATGATAGATGATTATTGTTTTAAGTTCAAGAGAAATAGATTCCTATGTCCGATTTGATTATCATCATTTTGTTCTTTTTAATATAGTTTATATGACATATTTAGGATGTTCAGACTCATTCTTAACTTGCATTTTTGTTATTTTATTTCATTGTATTAAAGTTCAAATACATTTTTTTTATCGTTTCTTATGGGTTCATTCAGTATGAATTTTAGCTGCTTCCTAGCATTTTTCAGCATATGGGGGTATCTATTAAGGAATTTGGGCCTTCCCATCATGTTAGTTAAGAAAGGATCACACAATCGGTATCCAAAGGCACCACGACTGGGGGTATTCTATCCCATTATGCTTAAAAAATTACACTTGAGCCTTCATCTATTTATTGAGAGAGTACGTCAGATTTATACTCTACATTATAACAATGTGAACAAGATCTTAAATTTGAATTTTTCCGTCATGCTAAGAAAAACACATATGCGACTTACCTATGACACTGCTAGTGTCGGTTACAAGTTCTCCCTGTCATGGTAAGAAAAAACTTGTATGAGTTTCGCTCGTCTAGCTAAACGTGTTGCGTTAGTAATTTTGAGAGTTTTGAGTTGCATTTTGTACCTTCATGCACATGCATTTTGTTGACGATGAATCAATATGAACTTGCAAGAACGAATACATACACTCTTTTTTGAATTTTTCTTTTCTCTTTTTTTGTTTCTCTAATTTTTTTACTTTTTTGAAAAGAAAAAGTATGAGAGAGAGAGAGAGAGAGAGAGAGAGAGAGAGATGGAAGTAGAGATTGAGGGGGGAACGAGATAGAGAGAGAATGCGAGAGCTAGATAGAGAAAGAGTTAGAGAGGCAAAGTGTGTGTGTGAGAGGTGAGAAAGAGAGGGGTAGGGAGATATGGCTATTGGGATTTTTGTGTCTACATAAGTGATGCGAAGCAGGAGAAGTTGGAAACTTGTCAATGATGAGATGAGTTGACACCATCTGTGTTTTGGTTGCTTGCAATGAAGAGATAACTGCGAACAAGTGACATAGTCGAGTGAACTAGTGTTTTGTGTAGAAGGTTGTTGTTGGAGAAGCAAAAAACTTCAGGCCAATGAGCTTAAGTGTTGATTGTTTATAGGGAGGGTGAACAATGTTGGAGGTTATTGAATGGTGGGGTTGGCTATGGTCTGGGTGGGTTTGTGGGATGTTTAAGCTGAAGAGATGAAAGATAGGAGTGTTGTTGGCGGATGAGAATACCCGTTAGTAGATTACGAGCAAGACCAATGAACTGCTAGGTCGAGAGAGAGAATAGGAAAATATGAGATAAAGCATGTTTGTAGGGATTTTGCGTTAGAGAGGTCCATGGTGAGTTTGAGCGAGTTGGGGTTTGTGAGGTTTTCAATTGGAGAAAAGAGGCTGCTGTGCAATTAGGCAGAGATGGGAGATGAGGGAGCCTTAATGGAGGGCTATGGTTTTTGGAAGCCAAGGAGAGAGGATCAGCCAAGCACATGGAGACTGCAGGGATTAGATTAGGAGATGGTAGGTGTTGGGAAGGGTTAGGCGCTGTATAAAGTCGAGGATTTTTGGTGTAGGGGGGATTTAAAGCGATTTGATTTTTTTAAAATAAAAAAATAAGTAAATTAAATATGCGTGCTCATATTCTCTTGAATTTCCTCGTTTCTCATGCATATTGAAATTTGTGCCATCACCTCATGCTCGAGCAAATTTTATGTTTTGCCTTCGTTCATTAAGTATGCCAATGTATGTGTCTAAGCTATTTTTGACTTTTCATACGAGTCAACGTAGTCCTTTTTACAAACGGGCAACATTTAATTAATTATGTGCGACATTGGGCTTATAGCCTGTCTTTTTTTCATCATGTGGCTATGTGGCAATATGATTAGTCCTTTTTGGGTATTTTTAGCATCTTAGACGCTTTGATGCTCTCCATTTTACGAAACGAGCTATGGTTGAGTTGTTTTGTGTGGCATGTTGTCCATCTTTTATTATTTTTGTGATGTTTGATCGAATTGCGCATGAGAGGTCATTCCTTGGTGGTTTCAATGCTCCAGACTCATTAGTAAAGTTTATTTCGCAAAGCAGGCATTTGCTCAATCAATCCTTGTGCAATGTTGTGTCTGACTACTATTAACGCCATTTTTGGTTGGTTTTAACTCTTGTTGCATTGCGACGCATACACCTAGGTCAACAATAAGTGTAATCTTTATAACACTCAATGCTCAAGCACTTTGTGATGCATGATATCTTAGGGTCTAAATTATTTGTTATTCTAATTCAGGATAATATACCTAAACTACACACAAAAGATTAAACTTTGCAATACATTAACTCTAGTTAGTCAAAATTTAGTCTCTTTTGATTCAAATTAGAAAATATACAATTTGCTTCAAATAGTAATTTAGATATGGCTTAATTTGAAATTAAATTAGAATATTGGAGCGAAATATAAACATGCAATGTTTAGAATTCACATCGCAAATGAAAATTAGATTGTAATAAATTCGATCATATTTCAATTACATACAAAATTAGCACATAATAATAGATAGAAACGAACAATAATAAAAAGCATCGAATTGAAGATTCATGCTTCATGCTCATGCTAGAAATCTTTCCCTTGGATTTTTTTTTAAAGATTAGCATCGCTTCAAAGAATTCACATCTAAAGTTTTGAGTGGAAAATTAGAATTTTATTGAGCATAGATTGAATCCTGATCAACAACTTCTGGAAATAATTATGTTTTATATTGTTTAGGAAGATTTTCTAAATCAAGAGCCACTTGCCAGGGCTTCGAGGAGGGAAATAGGGTTTTCGAATGGGGGATAGCAGGAAGGGAGTTTTATTGTGGAGGTGGTGGAGTGGTCGACCATTATGAGAATCTTTTTTGGTAAGGGGAGTGGGAAATTGGAGGGGGACGGCCCAAGCCATGGGGATCGGGTCATGTGAGGCGGATGGAAGAAAGTGGGACCATCCTTGATACACGGGGGAAACATGGATGGATCATGACAACCACTACACAGGAGGAGGAAGAAGCTGTTGGAGCCGTGGCAATCCTAAAGTGTGAAAGCTGAAGATGTACATAATTGATGAGAAGAAGAGTGAGAGTTCAATAAGTGATACACAAGCTTCTTTCGAGGATAAACTGACCGACAAAGAGAAAAATGTGAATGAAGAGGGCAAAGAAATAAAATTGCAAAGCCAAGCTGATGATGATGATCAGGAAATCTACCGCATCAAATTACCTGGAGTAGCAAAGATTGGTGAAGGTGAGCCAAAAAAAATCAAAACCATGCAATTGTCTTTACTAGAGGGGAGGCTCTTCAGGCAATTGATATGAACCATGATAACTATTTGAAAGAGGCTTTGAAAATGAGGAATATTTTGGAGGAATTCAATGAAGATCATGGACTACGCCCACCAACCATTCTTGGTGTACGTGAGCACATTTTTACAGGAAGTATTTCATCTTTGGGATGTTGAATGTCAAACCAAGAAATAAGTTTTGAGACAATTGAACAAAGGGCTCTGGCTACTCCGCAGAATTTCCGCTTCTAATATGGGCATTTAGATGTATCTGACAAGAATTTTCACATCATTAGAGGTGGCATAAGTAAGGCTTCTTGTGGAATCAACCTAAGTGAGGATATCTTTGCAGGATTCAATTCGACATTGAGGCAAGGAAATATCAACCACCGTGAGTATATTCAGGTTGGGAAGGATCGTGATGTTGGACTCAACTAAATCTTCTTGTTTGAAGCAAAGGTTGCCAGTAGCAATGGAGAACAAATACTTAGCAGATATATCTATCGCTTGGGCCACCAGTTTGACTTGTTCCATATGCTTTCTTACTACTTCACAACTGTGGAGTTCTATGTCAGTTCAATGATGGTTGTTATCATAGTTCACCTTTTCCTCTATGACAAACCTTACCTGTCATTAAGTGGGCTTGAGACTACCATTATGAAGCAGGTACTGTTGAGAGGAAATAATCTTATAAAGACTGCTGTGGTATCTCAATCTACCGTCCAATTTGGCCTATTGATGACCTTACCCATATTTATGGAGATTGGGTTGAAAAGGGGATTCAGAACTGCATTGGGCGACATAATCATCATACAACTTCAATTGTACTTAGTTTTCCTTACATTCTTGCTTGGAACAAAATCCAATTACTTTGGATGGACAATCCTACATGGTGGAGCAAAATATAGAGCTACCGGACGAGGATTCGTTGGGCGACATGTAAAATTTGCAGAGAACTACAAGATGTACTATAGTAGTCATTTTACAAAAAGGGTATGTAACTTATGTTGCTGCTAATTGTTTATTAAATCTACGTGTTTGTAGCTGCTGATTCAACAACCTTTATGCTTCTCACTACATCCATGTGGTTCCTTTTTTTTTCACCTGGATTTTTGCGCCATTTCTTTTAAACCTTTTTGACTTTGAGTGGGGAAAAATGTTGATGATTGGGATGATTGGAGCAAGTGGATAAAAAGTGAAGGCATGGGCAAAGAGGTTAAACTGTTGAAAGATTGTATATTCTCTAGAGTGAAGTATGAGCAGATAATGAAGGATGTAGAATTGGATCAACCGATCAAGTGCTAAGTGGTTCTCGCAGAAAACAGATTTTATTGTTAAATAGATGATCAGGAGACAATTTCCTTCTTTACACCTTGAGGACAATGTGTCTCTTTTGGGAGGGGAGTATTAATATGCTAGGGGGTCCAGCAGAAGGTATTTAGAAGGTTCCTAATCAAGGGATGTTGTTTAAGAAGATCATAGATTATGTTCTATATAGACATATTGCTTATTCTTCTTGTTATCTTCATATTGATATTTTCAAGCTATCAAATGTCGAACTATATCATACTTTTTCAAATTAAAAATAGAGGGAGCTTCCTAGGAAATCATTTGTTTTCATCAAAATGGCATTCCATACATGTAATAAACAGTTGGACCCGTACTACGACACCAAGAAAATTAAATAGATAAATCCCGCAGAAGAAAAGTGTTTCACAGTTGAGACTTTTAAATCGCTTATGTCTATTCTTTGATGCCAATGCTGGCTAACATTCCATTCCCTACCACATTCAAAGAGGTTTTACTTGGTTAAAACCAGAGTTAACGTAAATAAAAATAAGTTCTAACTGAAGCGGTGGTTTCACCATCTAACGGAAGGAGCTTTGAAGTGACAAAACAGAATGCAGGCATTTTTTGGAGTAAAAAAAGACTGTTTATGAGCAAAAATCACCAATCTTACTATGTAGAATGGATCATTTGCTGTTTTTAGATCAGATCGCTGTTGTTCCTTTTATTAGAATTTGGTTCGTGCTTCTTTTTCCAGGCAATTAAATGGTTGTGTGAGTATATTGATTATTCAGAGGAATGAAATATCCTATCATCTGTATATTTAATAATATCTTTCTATTAATTGTTTTTTCCCTATCAGAAGCATGGCACCTTGTCTTGTCGCAGCAAGAAACAAGTGGTGTTGATTACTAAACATGCTTGCCTAAATCATCTTAAATAATATAATGCTATATGGTCGAGGAATATATCTAACTTTTGAAGAAATCTCATTACTTCACTCCATTATACCAATTATTTCTTAGCTTTGCATTTTTTTCAAATAAATGAGCCATACTTACATCTTGGCAGACCTTTAAATGCTTCAGAAACTGTATGTTACTACTTATGACCTTGACTATGGCCGGTGTAAGTAGTAATAGCGAGTTATCATGCAACATTTTACTGGAAACGTGCCTTATAAAATGGAAAATGACGCATTATCTTGCTGTTCTAAACTACTTTCTCAATGAATATGTGTAGTTATAATATTTTTTTGATCTCCTTGTGTAGGTATGGAAAGTTGCGTCAACCCCAGAGAACGATAAGTTTCAGTTTACTTATTTTGCCCATAAAATAAACAGCTTTGACACTGCGCCTAAGAATTTGTTGCCCTCGGATTCCCGATTGCGACCTGATAGATATGCGCTGGAACTGGGTGAACTGTCCAAATCTGGTTCTGAAAAGAGCAAGTGAGTTTTTTTTTTTCCTCATGTTTTTTTACATATTCATGGGCCTTATGAATCTCTAAAATTCTGGGAAATGTGGAATATGTTTTAATCTATGTTGCACCGATACACCTATTTATAAATGCATGTTGTATCTGATACACCGATACACCTCCGATACGTGTCAGATACGGCTTTGCCGTATCCAATTAAAATACTATTTAATTTCAAAAGGACACGTGTATCCGATATGCGTGTCCATTGAAAAAAAAAAGCCGAAAAAGACCCGTCATATTTACTTCCACGGTTGCGAGTGAGATTCTCTCACTTCCAAGATGGATTTGAGTCTCTTGATGATATGGAAATATTAGAAATGGCTAATCTTTCACTTGATGAGCCTGAATTAGAAGCTATGATATTTATTGAAGATGATATAGAACTTCAAAGACAAACCACTGAAGAAGCAAATCATATCATTCCTTTCATTGAATAGTTGAAACTTCATGTGTTAGGCAATTTATGTTTATGCTTTGATTGTTGTATCAGACATTTAACGCTTACTTTTATTTTGATATTATAATCTACAAGGCTACAAATGATATTACTTTCATTTTTTTTTTTGTAATTTCAAATATTATGCTTTGATTGTTTTCTTAATTTTTATATATGATTTATAAATTATAATGTCGTGTCCGTGTCGTATCCGTATCCTATATTTTTAATAATTGACGTGTCCCGTATCTGTATTGTGTCATATCCATGTCTCCTTGTCCGTATCGGTGCAACATAGGTTTTAATGTAACCTCACATTAGCAAAACTTGATCGATCATCTACACGCAATGTAATGCTGCCATGATTTACTAGTGTTTCCATTTTCAAATGTTGATAATATTCATGGCTAGTTCATATCCTTCTGTCCCTATTCTTTCAGATTGGAAGAGCAGCAGAGAGCTGAGAAGAAACATAGAGAATCCCGGGGAGATAAGTTCACCCCAAAATGGTTTAATATTACAGGTGAAATCACTCCCACACCGTGGGGTGATATTGAAGTGTACGAATACAATGGAAAATACAGTGAGCACAGGGCTTCCGTCGACAACTCGGATACGATAGAAGAGGTCGACGTCAAATCGATCAAGTTCAACCCATGGCAATATCCAGACCTCCATTAAGTGAGCCTTTCTATCTCATGTCAAATCCTCTTTCACCGTCGTTTGTTGGAGTGGATTTCGTTTATTCTAGTTTGCCCAGGAGGAATGATTGGTTAGTTTATGTAAACTTGAATCTCTTTGTTGTTTCCTCTTTGTTATTTTTACATTTTCTAACGAATTGTTAATTCATAGAAGCATATAATTTAGTTTCCTTTTTGTTTTTACTTCACTCACTTCATGGAGAGATTATTAGGTGCGGAATGCGGACGGGGAGAACCGTCCGCATAAGTATTGGGTACCTAGCAGTACCTGCATTGGGTACCCAATATTTGTACGGACGGTGCGCACTCCGCACCTAATAATTTTTCCACTATGGCACCGGTTCCTAAATCTTTACTAGCGGTCTCCGAAACTGTTTGCAGTAATATATTTTTAGGACTAGTGTATTAATTATGACGTATGATTTTATTTTTCTATTAGTAGTTGTAATTATTTGTTTGTATTTCATATGATTTGATGAAAATAGCTAAAATCAATAGAAAAATATTGAAAAAGGCTTACCAGCTTACCCTTCTATCCTTATTTTGACGACTTTGAGTTCATGATATTTGAAGTTCTTAATCCAGGAAATTTGAAAATTCGCATGAATATAATCGTGTGTGGTTGTTCATTTCACTCATAATTTTTTTTTTTTGCATTAAAAACTGAATCTGAGGGTTCATTTTGAACAGGTGAATTAATCAAATATCTATATTTAATTATTTTCCTTGATATAAGCATCTCCTAGATTTTGAAGAGTATACTAAGGGCTTGTTTGTGACTGATTTTTTATTGTTTTTTAAAGTAGTTTTTTTAGTACAAAATTTTTAAATTGTGTATTTGAATGTTGTTTTAAGGAGCAGTAAGAAAGTCGTCTCAAACGAAGCTTAAAATATAATTCATATTTTTGGTTCATTAAATATTTAATGATATGTGTAGATATGAGTTATGTCAATTTTTTAAGATTATTAGGACAATAATAAATATTTTAATGATATAGCTGTTATTTTATCAAATTTATAGCAGTTTCAACTTTCAAATGATAGGAAAAAAAAAAAACTTTGGAAGCATTTCGAAAGGATAACCTACTAGTCTTTTGTAAATGCTGGGAATTTAAAGGCCGGCAAAATTATTCAATGTGGATATGATTCATAGTGATTAGAAACTTTAGCTTTGGCACTTGTTACACTAATATTTTTTTTTTTAGTGGTGAAGTTATCATCTCTAATTTTACATAAAATCATTTAAAAAACTCACATGAATAAGAACAAGCATGTTGATAAAGTTACATTTTTTTTATCTTTTGATGAAGAAGAATACTAAAGTGATGGAAGCTGTCAACTTCAATGATGGATTTTTTTTATAAAATTTTGTTTGAGAGGTTGTTCTCATCATTCTCAGGAATCTGAAGAGGGAAGTAATGCTAACTTAGCGTTTTTATCTTTTTAAAAATAGAAAAAACTATTACTTGCAGTGTCTGTACGCATCCGAACTAACCATAATAATATGCATTGGATGATGTGACGTGTCCGGATTAGTTTCTGAATGCATTGGGACTCCACACAAATAATCTCTCTAAAATGAATCAAATGACATGACTTCTCTCTTATTGTCTTCCACTTGACTGTAGCATTTTATGAAATCGAGCAAGAAGAAAAGGCTTGTCATTTTTTTTTTAAATAGGAAATATATTAATAACACAAAAATAAAGGTTACATCAGCATAAAAAGAAAAACTAGCAGATAAAAAAATAAACAACAGAGAGAATTAGAAAACAAAAGCGAGCTCAGAACAAAGACAAAGCTTTCAGCGTCCAGTGTGTCCCGCACGGAACCTCCAGAAAGCGAAGAACACACCCCGAGAAAGCACACCTATGGTTGCCACCAGCAAAGAAGGACTAGGACGCGAGCCCCAACCACATCATAGCCCAAAGCCTCACGTAGCAGCAAATCAAACAGTAAATCCGCCAAATCCCGAGAAGAAACAGCAAGAATCAACAAACATACGAAACGAAAAATCATCTCCTGCGTCGACCTCTACCCCAAAATTTTCTGCGAGAGCCAACATTTGAAGTACGCACAAGAATAAAATCATTGTCGGACTCAACAGACTGCGAATCCGACTCCACATCCGACGAATCAACCAAACAATTATTCTGATTCCTAATATCCAAACCAGAAGAATTACCCACACAATTGGCCATCACTTGGGAATCAACCACGCTTACAGGGACCACAACTAAACTGTTGGTAATCAAATTAACTTCCTCTCTTCCCTTCTCAATTTCAGCCGGCACCACCGCAACAGGCATAACACTATCAGAACCACCATCTGCATCTTTTAAACCTTGAACACCCCCATTAGAATTCACAACACCCATAACTAGCGAGCCATCAGAATACACCAGTACACCACATTCATTGCACCAAAAACCACCTCCGGCACCACCACCGGAGAACCATGGTCACTAACATCAGTCACAACCGGAGGTACAAAAGGAGCTGCATCGGGGGATTTAAAGGACCCATCCAAGAAACCGGGGTCACAAACACGACTAACCACCATAATGAAAGGAAAAGGCAGAAAAATGAGAGGGCAAACTTCCCTGGACAGCAACCTGAAGAAAACAAGCCCTAGCGGCGGAGACGAGAGTCCGGGCGGCGGCGCGAAGCCCAGCCGTCGCGAGAGTCCAGGCGGCGGCGCGATGCCCAGCCGTCGCGAGCGGCGATATGCCCTAGCCGTCGCGGGCTTGATGCCCTAGCGGGAGTTTTTTAACTCCCAACTTCTTGTATGCGTTCTAAGAAAAGGCTTGTCATCTTTGTCCATGATGAGCAATTCCAAATCAATCGACATGCTTTTTTATTCGACTTTTATTTTTTTAAAAAAAAGTGTAATATCAATATGTATAGAGTTATTTATCTAAAAGTAAATTTAAAAGCTTTGAGATTTATTATGATTATTTTTTATTAGAATATTCTCATAAAAAATTTTCATTCTTGAGCTGATTGATTATTGAATTTCATTTAGCCTGTAAGCATGCTGGAATTCTTAAAAATTTGTAATTATTAGATAGGAAGCTGTACCAATTCCAGGCAGATCGAAATTAATAAAACATAAACGATGAATGCTTGAGACTAATCAAATGATGGAGTGCTATTCATTCCTCTTTTTTACTTTTTTTTTTTCAACTAAAACTATGTAAGTGTGAAAAAAAGTCTTAACATTGAATGAAAATTTAGTGTATTAAGTATGAGAAATCTTTAATAAAATGTAGTAGGCATGAATTATGAGAAGTTATAGGGAATGATAGCTCGTGCACGTAGCTCATCTTGGTTTGTTAGTTGAGAAATTTGGTTATCAACTAAGAGGTTTTGGGTTCGAGTCTTGCGTATGTATTGTGTGTATGTGTTTGTCTTAATTGGCTTATATGCCCCCAAAAAAACCCCTCGTGCAGTAAAGTATGGAGTATGTACATTTTTTACCTGAAGTTTCATTTGATACTATTAATTTTTTATTGCTTTCTAAAATAGTTTTTTAATACAAAAATTTTTAATTCATGATTTGTTTTTGTAGGAGGAAGCTATTTTAGAAAGTTGTCCCAAACAAAGCCTAAAACAATCACTATCACATCATGATCCCAACAAAATATCCATTAATCCCCCACTAAAAAACAAAATATCCATTATAGTATAGGTTGTTTAGGAACAAATATCACTTTGCGATCCCAAACGGAAATTCTTTTTTTTTTTTTGGTAATATTTGAATGAATTATTTTATATTTTTTCCTGCTTTCAAGAAATTTTTGTACTAAAAAATAAATTTTTAAAAAGGTAAAAAAGTCCTCCCAAACAAGGCCTAATCTAGGCTGAGCCATGTCATAGTGGCCTGGCCCAATCTTAGTACAAGAAAGAAGCTTGTCGATGTTCAAATTGGAAGAGATTAATACATACTTGAGGCCATATAAGCCCTACCTACATATTCACTTAATTGTAGGCCTCCTCAATGTGTAGATTTGTATTGTCTAAGCCCCTTTAGTCTAGGGGAGGTTGAGGAGCACTACTCCATCACCAAATAGTACTTAGTGCGCTCACATTTGCACAAATGTGTCACCCGCATTAACTGTGATTTTTATTGTCTAAACTAAAATGAAGAATATTCATTCTTGTATACTTGATATATTATGCACATATATTATTCGACCGATAATACTAAAGCTATTGCACTTATTCAAGGACTCAAAATCGCCTTTTCACCAAGGTTGTTCACTGAAGGATTTTGAATACTTGCATGAAGTATTTGTAAGCCAGTTAGAGGTTCTTTCCCATAGAACTAAGCAATTATAATTGCCATCAATTTGAAACCTACATGAAGTTCTTCTATTAATAGTTGACTACAAGTTAAAATTGTTTGCGATATTGAGTTCAATCTATATAACTAAAATGTATTTTGCCATACAACTAGGGCTACAAACGAACTGATCTCTGTATCAACCATGAATCAAGCTTCTTAATGAGCTTTGTATCAAGCTTTAAACAATGTTATTTATGAATATAAACGAGTCGAATATATAGATGTTCAAGCTTATCATTTAACCTTCAAGTATTTAAAAATAATTTGAAGCTTGTTTAATTTCTTAATCAAATGATTAGAAATGACCTATAACTGAGTCAAGTTATTAGTAACTTGTTGAATGCTTGCTTTGTTTGTAGCCCTACATACAACCAATTTTGTAACCAATTGAGACTTAGCTTTAGGATCTTTGTCATCTTTCTACCCCTCATGCTTCATCTATTTTTTTCTAATAAGGTCTTACTATCTTTTCATAAACAACAATAAATCCAAATTCCTCTAAGATATGTTGTGTGTATCAGTTGATGCAGGCCGCTCTCCCTTATCTTGTGCCGGCGGAACATCATTTTGGCCACTTTCCATTGCTGCTTTAGCTACAGGCGCCACTACCCTTGTTTCCTGCATTAGCTGCTTCTGTTACTACTTTTTACTAGTCCTAGTATCATCTTTGCTTTAGTTTGCTTTTCTAGAATTAGCATTTTCTTTGCTTATTATCCGGTAAACTGTAGATGAACAGTTAACTCTTGAATATTACACATAGTCTCTGGTTTTACTGTTCTATTGAGTTTGTTTTGTGGTGATCTCCTTCTTTGCTGCTGCACCATCAG